GACCCTGCGGGCTGTCTCCCACTTCGTCTTCACATCCCTCTGCAGCCGTGGCATCCGGGGGGCAGACGGGCCAGCCTTCTCCCAGGGGCCACCCTACCAGCCAGCCAGGCAGAGGGGGGCATTTTCATCTTAACAGGCACGAGGAAACCTCCTCAGAGCTGACGGCCAAGCACCACACACGGAAGCCGCAAAGCAGTACCAAGTCCTGTGGGCGGCTCGGACCCTGCGTCCAAGCTCCTCTTCCTGGAAGGGGGCCCGGAGGGGGCTCTCCGTCAGGCCTTCTGGACGGGACTCCCAGCTTACAGGGACACGCGCTCAGGGCAGCTGTGACCTTGCTTACACAGAAACGGCCGGAACAGAACGCAACACTGAATGGATACCTGCCAGGAAAACGTCTTTTTAGAGTAGAAATGTGAATTTTCTCTTTGTGTTTTTGTCTGTCACCACCTAGGACAGAGCATTGCTTTGGGTTAGATTTCAGCCACTTTCTGCTGCTTCAGCTTACGTTTCTATCCAAACAGACGCTGCTCACTGTGAACTTACTTTTTTGCAGGTGGAAGAGAAGATGGTAAGGAGACCCCGGTCAGCCGCTCACTCCCTCTATTCAGGGACACCCGTAGTGGCCTCCAGTGTCCACTGGGCACCTGATAAGGGGCTGGAGGTTGGAGCCAAAGGGAAACTGAGGCTCTCGGAAAGGCTGACAAAGGGAAATGGCGGCTCTTCTACCAAGAGGGCATTTAACGGTAGCACAGGGCAAACTGTATTAGATGAGACGGGAGTTTGGGCAGGCGTGGGACTGGGCATCCATGTCTCACCTGCCACCTGTGAGCTATGACGCCTGACACACATGTTCTGAGTAGCCTGCTAATCTTTAAAGCTAACGTGAGGCTCTGCTGCCGAGGGCAGGGTCGCGATGCACCTTGCTCACGTCTCCACCTCCTGATGCCACCGCTCCTACGACAAACATCTGAAGAACGTTTATTCTGCTCCAGGCCCAGGGCGTACATTTGCTGTGTCATCTCGCGCCATCCTTGCAGAAGCCCAGGATGCACATCCTGTCATGAGACCCGCTTTACAGGTGAGATGCCTGAAGCTCAGAGGGTGGCCATGTGGCCAAGGGGACACTGCTCAGAAAGTGGTGTAATCAGAACTGGAGTCTTGAAAGGTCACCACGTCCTGCCTCCGGTCGAGCGCAGGCCCAGCTCCCGGGACCCGGTCCAAGCCTGCGGGAGATGGCGTGCCGATTTCTCCAGGCGGATCCCCAAGAGGAGGGCCGGGTCCCAGCTCTGCCTCCTACCAGCTACATCCCCCTCAGCGGGTGACTGAGCATCTCCGTGCCACTGTTTCCTCATCTGCCCAACACGGGTAGTAGTAGCATCTAAGCTCACAGGGCTGTTCCGAAGTCACGTGAGCTGACGTGGGGGGTGTGGCCTAGAGCAGGAAGAACACTGCAGACCTTTGCTGCCTCTACTAACTTCATTGCCACCCCCCCCCAGCCCCTTACACCTGAATGACGCCCGGCAACTCACAGGCCCGAGTGTCTTCTGCTTTGAAAGCCGTGCTTTCGTAGAGGCTCCTCTCTAAGGAACTCATGCGTGTCTCAATGTCGTTTCCTGAACGCTGGCGCAGACACAGGGCCGTCTGAACCCTTCCTGGGGGAGCCTTCTACCGGGACTCTCCCACGGGCCTTAAAGCCCCTGCTCAGAGCCGCACGGGGTCAGCGCCGGTCCCTGGGTTGGCGGGAAGGCCGCCCGCTCCTGCCTGCCCTGTGGCGGGGGCGGGCGGGCACTGGGGGTGTGCAGGCGTCAGGCCCGGAGCCGGGGGGCAGAAGAGGGCAGACGTCCGCCTGGATGCCGGGCCATGACCTGTCATTTATTCCTCTGCTTCACCTTAGGCGGTGTGGCCCCTCTCCTCCCCAGGGCCAGCACCTGGGCCACGACATGTGACAGGAGGGGCAGCAGGACGCAGCAAACCCTGGACTCGGAATCAGCAGGTCGTCGTGCATTCGGGACTAGACTGACACGGAGTTTAGCCGCCAAGCCTCCTTGGGAAGCCGCAGACTCCAGACTTGAGTTACCAGCAATGTTAACCTCACAGGGTTGTTACAGAATAAGTAAAATATGAGAAGATTTTAAAAATTAAAATTGGTGTAAATGAGTGGAATTATAGTGAAAGAAGATAGATGATCTAATTCGGCACCTCCGTTGGTAGCTGAGCTGATTTACCTTGAATTTTGCTGCCAGTGCTCAAACGGGACAACAGTGAGTAGTGGGTTAATGGGTTCAGAGTGAGGCCTCTCCAGCCAAAGGCCTGGGTCAGTCTTCACAGCCTCCCCTGCTAGTGTGTGTCTCTGAGCAAGGCACTTAGGTAAGCTCTCTGTGTCTCAGTTCCTTCGCCTACAAGAGAACATGAGTAACCCCCACATCGGAAGGCTGTCAAGAGAATTAAAGAGTCCACGCAGGTAAGACATTTAGAAAAGTGCCCGAACACAGCCTACAAGAAAGACGTTGGCCACTAGGCTGCTGCTGACCCTGAAGATGGCGGAGACGGCGGTGAAGATGCTGACGACGGAGAGGAGGGGGAGGAGGGCGCGGCAGTGGTGAGCAGGATGAGGGCGGCCCCTCTTTCGGTCTCCTCCTTTTCGTAGGGACAGACCGCCGCTACCTGCCCATCAGTTACCGCCCTTGCATTTTCAGGCGCAGAACCACTAGCTTCGAGCCTGAGAATTCAGGCTTGCCGAGAGATCCCAGCATTCCTTACTGCCGTCCGCGTGAAGACAGTGAAGTGGGGTTCTCATCAAGAGGTCCTTATAACCATGACAACATGAGCAGCTCCACTCTTCTGAGGATGTCATTGCCATGACAACACCTGAGTGACCAAAATCAAGAGGCCAAGGAAAGTGCTGTGACAAAGAGAGAAAACATGTCAACACACGGAGAAGTGTGGGCCTCCAGGAGCAGAGCAGGGACCGGTCAGTGCGGACGCTTAACAGCAAAGCCACAGGGAGCAAAGTGATGAGGAGGAAAGCACGATGGCTCACTAAACTGCCCTGCACTCAAAGGGCCGTGGGTCCCGGGCAGAGAGAGACGCAGAGGGAAAGGGCCCACGTCCCCGTCCCTCCGTCTTGCACACGTGCCCCACCCATCGCGGATGTTTCCCCTCTCGGGGGAAAGGGAGGCTCCTGGGCGACGGGGACAGGGAGGGCGGGGGGCTGGGACTCCGAGGAGAAGCACCGCGGGTGGGTGCTGGGGACCTGGCCGCCAGCCGGGCTGACACGGAGGAGGTGCTGCCCGTCGCACGGCAGGGGGCTCTCTCCCGAGGGGCGAGCACCTCCCAGCCTCTAACGCTCTTCCAGACTAAATGCCGAGACTGCCTGCCCCCCACCCCGCACGGACCGGGTCAGCAGCGCTGGGCAGCGCCCCACCCCCGCAGGACCGGGGTCAGCAGCGCTGGGGCAGCGGGGAGCCTGCGGGAGGTCCGGGGTGCCCGTCTGTCTAGAGCTGAAGCGTTTTCCCCAGACAGAGCCTCCCCCCAGCACTAGACCTGGGCGGTGCTGGTCCGCACCTCCGGGTGTGGTGGGCCTTCTCCCTCCATTCCCCCACTGAGCTTCCTCCGGGTGTGGAGGGGGCCTCTCTTGGACAATCACTGCAGCCAGAGGGGTGGCTGCCCATGGCTCACTTGGTCCTGCTCTGCTTTCAGAGAAAAGACGTATCCGGTAGCCTTGCTCCGGCCGAGTGCCTGGTCACGGAGGGTCGAATACTGAGGACTTTGAGCCCGTCTCCCTGGCCCTGGGGAGGGGTGGGGGGAGCAGAAACCGTCCTGCGCCTCCCTGCCCCTTCTCACGGCTGCTTCACACCCCGGGAAGTAAGTGCTTCCGTGATCAGCCCCCAGTGGAGCCCTCCCTGGGCCTCCCAGCGGACAGTGTCCCCTCCAGGCCATGTCCCTCAGGGTCAGAGACGGTCTGTTGCTTTAACAACATGGTGATTTTCCCTCCAACTGCCCAGAGCACTCAAAAGCCACATGAAGACATCTGGGGTGACATGGCTGAAGGTCAGATTTTAGAGGCTCCTCTACAAGTAGAAACAAGTCTTTTAATTCCTTCTTTTATTTCATCTGAGGAAGAAGGACCCCTGGGAGTTCTAAGACGCGTAATTACACTGCAGTGACAGCGGGGAGCGGCCGAGGGACGCCGGGCTGCGGACTGCGCTTTGGGAGAAAGTTCCTTTGTCCTCACACTGTCCACGAGCCCCAGCCCCAGTTCTGCTAACCCTCAAAGAAAAACTGCTCAGAAACAGGGTATCACCCCGTCCCTTTCTTCAACCCATTCTCTCCCTTTCCAGTTAATATCTTACCTACTGGCTTTCACCAGGTCCATCCCTCCGACGTCTCAGGTAAGCGCATTTTACCAGTGTTCAGTCCTCACCTCCTGGACTTGAAAGCGCACCTGCGACGTTAGTCACGTACTCCGTGTATGACGTGCTCTCTGCACTTGGTTTTCAGATTCCCTTCCTCCTCACAATCGTCTTTGTTGGACCGACCTCCTTTCCGTCACACCTCAGTGCTGGAATGCCCCGAGGCCCAGCCACGGAGCTCTCTTGTTCACTCGGTAGGTGGTGATGACCAGACTCAGGGCCCCAAGTGCCATCTGGAGGCTGACGACCCCTCGACTGAGTTCCCGAGCTTCTGTGCCCTTGCATAGCCAACCACCTACTCAGCTTCTCCACCTGCAGGCACCAAGCGCCTCGAGTCCAAGCTCCTCTTCCTTCTACAAGCCTGCTCGCTCCCCTTGGAGTTCTTGAGGGCAAGAGCTGATATAAGTAGCCGCCAGCAGGCACAGGCCACGGATCTTAGAATTGCCCTTGATTCCTAACTCTTTCTCACAACCCCCGTCTAACAAGCCAGCAAGCCTCGTCGGCTTTCAGAATACATTCTAGATTAAAGATAGCCTCCGTGCCTTCATCCCCCCCCCACAGGCCGTGCCTTCATCAGTTTTTATTTTTTTTAATACGGAGTGCTTCACGAGTGTGCACGTCACCCTTGCGCAGGGGCCATGCTAATCGTCTCTGTCTCGCTCTGATTTTCGTGTTTGTGCTGCCGAAGCGAGCACGCCTCCCTCACGTCTTGATGCACGAAGGCGACAGCATCCTCACTGCTATCCCGCAGCCACCCTCAAGGCCCCGCCCCCTCACCCTTGTCCTTTCTCTTCCAACAGTAAAACTGACCCTTTGTCAACACCGGCTGAACCAGTTCACTCTCTGGCTTAAGACATGCCAGTGTTTTTACTGGAACAAATGCTGAAGTCTTTACCTTGGTTTTCAACGCACAGCATGATCTGACTCTTGGCTCTCTTCCCAACACCCCAGGTGACGTCTTTCTGCTTCAGCACTCCTGCTGTTCCTCACGGACCCCAGAGGGGTCCCCAGCTCACGGCCTTGGAACCTGCCGGTCCCTCTGCCCGGAGCACCCTCCCGATCACTGCCTCCCTTCACTCTGCTCCGGGTCTCTGCCCGGCTCTCTCTCAACATCCGACCAGAGCAGCACCGCTCTGGCTCCTGGTCCCTTCTCTGTTCTGTTTGTCTCCACAGCGCTCTCTCCTTGACATCAGCTCATGCAGTCATCCGCTGAGTGTCAGCCACACCCGACACCGCAGCCCCCGGGGCAGAGGCTCTGAATGCTGCGTTCCCGCACTCTGAAGCATCTCAAAGTGCCCCTCCCTCAGCTGTCACAGGGAAGCTTCATGGTAAATCCATGCAGATCTACTCTGCTGAGGATGGCAAACCCCCAGCAGACCCTCGATCGCCTCTCTGCCTCTCACCCTGCTGAATTTTTTCCTGGTGACCACCATGTCACACATCATCAGGTTCACGTATCCGCGTCTCTCCCACGAGAACAGAAGCTCCGTGAGGCCAGGGGCTGTGTCTCCTTTGTCCCCTCAGGTACCTCCCGGCCTAGGACAGCTGCACTGCGGAAGGTCCTCAATGGCGATTATCGAGCAAATAATTGAATCGATGCACGAACAATCAAAATTGTTTTGCCAAGGAGTCTTCCTGGGGACAAAAATCCATGTCACCTTCTCTGCTCCAATCCTTCTCAGGAATGGTGTGTGACAGCAGAAATAAATCAGCGAGGGAGAAAGCCACTCGTCTTTCCCTGTCATGCAGATGACTGACTGGCCCGATACCCTGTCCGCAGCGACCCAGGCGAGCCCTTCCGTAAAGGGCAAGGCGGCCATGCAAGGCGTTAGAGAAGGGACACCAGGCCTCCCGGGCTGCCCGGCAGTTACGCAGGAGGGGTCCGGAATCCATTACGAGGACGATTAAGCCAAAGTCATTCCCTTTAACTCTCCCTCCGTGGACAGAAGAGGGGTTTGTTTGGGGCTGGGGGAGGGGTACCGTAGCAGAATCAGCCTCTGCTGGAGAGACGCAAGGGGTGAGACGACCCTCCTGGGGGGGAAGGGCTACAGGCCCCCGCCCCCAATACGCAGGTGACAAACGGGCGGATGGTGCAGCAGCACCCGAGGGGCAGCAGCCCGGCGGGGGGGAGGCCGGCGCCTGGTCCTCGCGCGGATTTGGTATCCCGCTCCCCGCCTGTCCTGGCTCAGCAGGAGGCGCACTGCCCCCCCACCCGGGAGGACGGAGTGTCCCCAGGAGCAGAAGGACACGGAGCAAAACCGGATGGAGTCAGATAATGAAAAACATAGCCTGGAATCCAGCGATTTCTTTTCACATCTAAGCTGTTAAAGTGTAAAACAACCTAATAATAACAATCCAAGCAGAGGACATGCCATCGCCTGAGCGAATGATAGTGCTCAACCTGAGGAAGGAGCAGACGGAGCCAGGGAGCAGCCGTCCCCCTGCCTTGCACCGCGGTCCAGGTGGGGGACAGCCTGCAGCTCAGAGCGAGCGAGACGCCTCACCGGACCACGCACAGGGGAGCGCCCGGGGTGGGGCGCGTCCTCCGCTCGGCGGTGTTCCTGCAGAGACCCACTGACCGAGCCGGAGGTCCCCGGGAGGGCGTGACGCCCAGGCCAAGCCCAGTGCCCAGCCTGGGGCCCAGTGCCTGGACAGGGGGGTGGGGGACACTGAGAAAACCTGGCCGCCCAAGGACCACGGCCCGGGGCTGGCAGGAGGTCTGACAGCAGCGAGCAGACGTGCCCCAGAGACTGAGAACAAGCAACGGGCCCGAGGCGAACAAGCGCACGGGTCTCGGGGTCAAGTAGGCTGGGATGTGCCCTTCACCTTGGCCGTTTCCGGTCTGTGGGTGAATGAGCCTCTCGGCTCTCCACTTCTTCATCTCGGCAAGGACAGCGACGCCTACTCGCGGGGCATGAGTGGGAATTAAGAGGTGGAAGGCACATAAAGCACAGCTCCCGGCCCGCAGCGGCCACCGCACGGCACTGGCTCTCAGACCTGGTGTGCATCACGGTCGCCTGGGGACTCTGTTAAAACGCAGGTTTCTGGGTCCCGCCCGAGGTCGGGGCTGTGAACCCCGTGGTGCTGTCCCACCCTCATAGGATCAAAGGCTCAGGGCGAGGGCTGGGTCTCTGTGATCCCCCCCCAGACAAAGGCGACTCCGAAGAAGGCAAAGTGGGGGAGCGCAGAGCAGTGTACACCTCAGGGCCGGGCCAGGGAAACGGGCGCCCTGTGCCGGCAGAGGTCAATCCAAGGTGGGGCAGTCGGGGGAGCCAGTGAGGGGCCCCGGGGAGGGCGCAGGGCCCCTTGGGGACGGACCACTCTAGGAGGGACGGCTGGAGCGTGGATGAGAGCTCCCCTAACTGCAAGTTCACAGAGCGGTGGGAAGGAGGGAAGGCAGGAGGGTGGACAGAACACGAGGTTTAATAGCGGCGATGAGAACCGTCAAGACTCAGTCTTCCCGCACTGCAGGAACGGGCAAACTTCTCTTCTAAAGGGCCAGGTGATGCCCAGGGACCATCCTTTGAGAACCACACTCAGCAGCCTGGCGGTTAAGCACGTGCGCTCTGGAGACACTGCCGTGGGTGGGGTTTCAGCTCTGCGACTCCGAGCAGTGAGGCCCTGGGCCCTCGGCGGTGATTCTCCAACCCTCGGCCCTCATCGTGGTGAGATGCTTGTCGCAGGGCCTGTCTCACACCTCTGTGAAGAGCGCACACGACGAGGGTCCCCGTTTAGAGGAGCGCTCAGCTCATTTTTAAACATCCACGGACTCGTGGCTATTGTTACTCTCGGAGGACAGGGACTGCCACTGAGACTCCAGGGAAAGAGCAGTCATCACGGGGGTGTAAAAGCAGGTGCAAAGTCAGAGCTCCACGGCGAAGCCCCTGCTGCAGGGACGTTCCGATGGGAGACTTCCTCCAGGTTCCCCGGGCAGCTCCTGGTGGGTCCTGGCCGTGGAGTTCCCGAAGCCTCCAGCTGGTCTTCAGGGGCTCCCTGGCCAGAAGGTTCCTGGGGCCGTTGTGCGCGGGACCCCCGATGAGCTGCCTGTCATGCTGCTCCTCAGAGACGGGGTCCCCCGGCCTGGAGGGGCTGCCGTTTAAGGCAGCTTTTGTGACAACCGAGCCTGGGCTGGTGAGCTTCTGCGGGGAAGACAACGCTATCTCCTGGCTTTTATATTTCCTTTTCCTTTCCATCCAAACCTCTCTGCATGGTGACGGTCACCAGGAACCCCCACAAATAGCCTCAGCTCAGGAGAACGTGGGGGAGGTGTTGCGAGCAGGGCCTGGATTCAGCCGACATCTGATTCTACCACATTTTTCAAGGGCTTTAAAATAATTGGTAAAACCACAAACAGCGCCTGCGGTCTGCACTCCTGCCCCTGCTTTCTCGACTGAGGCCGGATTTCATATGTTCTCAGTTGAAGCACGTTGAACTCATTAATTTCCCCACTAGTCTTTTTATGATTTTTCTCTCCTTTGAAGTAGGAGGTTGCACGGCTCTAATATTGCTTTAAACCGGATCATAAATATTAAACTTACAAAAACGCTTATTGACATTGGCAAATTTTGCCCTCAACGTATCTATCTAGCTGTAATTTTCCAGTTACAGAGAATTACGGAGTTAAAAAGTGATCTATAAGTGTCTCCCTCCACTCTCTTCTCTGCCTCCTTGGTCTGTGTTTAAACCACTGGCTTCACAAGTCGCTGGATCGCTCTGCCCCGCATCTGAGGTTGGACCACCAGTTTATCGCTTTCTCTGGACCGCCTGGGCCGTGTGCTCCCCCGCTGCTCTGGACGGGAGATCTGCCACTTTCCATTACGATGCAATTATTTCTCCCTCCCCCCATCGATGACACTGCAATACCCTGTGTGCTAGCAACTACTTGTCCCTCCTGGGACAGCTGCCTGGGGGTGCTTTGGGAATTTTAATCGAGCACCTACGTTAATTAGAAAGTCGTGGGGGTCAGGGACGTGCTTTGAATGTCTGTCTCTTCTGGCAGCTGACTGAGCTGCGGCTTTGGTAAGGATTCAGCCTTTTCACAGAAAAGACTTTTTATTTCTTCCCTTTGGTTTTTGCCTCCTGAATGGGGAGTGAGGAGCAAGGGGCCGGCGCCCAGGTGATGGGAGCTTCCGGGGCTGGGCCCCAGCTGTGCGACGCATGGGCCGGGCCCTTGGCCCTGCAGCCTGACCGATCCCGTCACACGCGCCGCGGAGGCTTCGTTACCTCCGTTTTGCAGATGAAGAGTCCGAGGCTCGGTCGGGGCCTTCCTCTTCTCAGAGGGAGCCTCTTCTCAGAGATTCCTTTGGTGGGTTTGGGAAACACATGACGTCGCGGGGGTGGAGCGCCTGTATCTTACCCATGACTCGCCAAGCCTGATTTTGTTTTAAATTATGCGCCAGAAAGAGTCCATTTTAAAAAGGGAAGAAAAATGCCGGCTCTACATCACTGGACGCTTTCTCCTTCACGATCCCCCACAAGGCCCGCCACTGGTGTGTGGCCCGCAAAGCCACCACGCGGGGCCTGGCGCTGCTCTCCTGACCCGGCAGACACGGGAGGGCCTCACAGCCAGCAGCGGCTGCAAGCATCGCCCCGGGCAAAGCGCCGCGGGCCCTGGGAAGAAGGGCAGGCCACTCAGCCTGACTGACGGCATTCGGCAGCAGCTCCTCAGCCTGATGGTGGTCGGCAGCAGCTCCCG